CCCCCCCCCCCCCAAAAAAAAATTGTTTTTTTGTTTGAGGGGGTGGGGCTGGGGTTGCGCCGCCCCATGGCGCTTCCCAAATCCCAACCCCCCCTCCCCACTAGCCGCAATGTCGCGCGGCCGCGCGGACACGTCCGCGGGGTCGCAGCCTAGACCGCGGCCCCGGACTTGTCCGCGGATGACCGCCGCCGAGGGGGATTCATAGGATAGATCGTCACAATCCAACTGAGCTTTCAGCTTTCAAGTTCCATACATATGTGAGAAGGTTAGGCATTCTTTGTGTGAAGAAGCATAAGGAGCATCCCCCTGTGTGCACTCACCACCCAAATAACGAAAACCAATTTGAGGCTGCAGGGCCAAAGACATAGACTCCTAAAAAAGTTCAACCGTTGTTCAAGAGTTATCAGACTCTTGAAATGCTGAATACTGCAGTTGTGGTTGCACTTAGGTTAAACTCGTGAACTCTTGAAGGTTAGGAAGCAGTAGGCGACACAGACTTCGGAAAAAGAAAAAGGGAAAAAAAGCACTACATGACGCAGCTACGAAGGTTTGTCCACCCAGACTCCAGGAAAACTCTCGAAAAGCAATGGGGCGCGTAGGGTCCTATCGACATCCCATGAATCTTGAATCATGAAGAGTGACACTTGGGAGTTATCTCTGACAGCACTTGAAAAAAAAATACCAGGAGTGCCTTTCTTTAGTTAGTGCAACGATGACCTCCTCTCAACATTTTCAAGCGTGAATCTGACAACTCTCGAATAGGTTTTGGGCATCCCGCGTCAAGCTAGGTGACACGCGCGGCCTAGGCCTCGGGCAATTCGATCGCGGCCGCCGAAAAAGTCGGCCGCGGCCACGACCTGTTTTTTTAATATTTTTTTATACCCCTAAAAATACGTTAAATATCTATCTATCTATCTATCTATATATATATATCGTCACAAACAGAACTGTCCGGTAAACCGTAGGCAGAGAGAGAGAAGAGGACAATATATATATATATACAGGGTTACCTGACCGAACGTTCGGGGGCCCCCGGGCTGGCCCCGAACGTTCGGGCGTTTGGGGTCCCGTTCGGGGGCCGAACACCTCCAGGTTCGGACCCCGCCAAATATTTTTTTTCTGAAATTGTTTCTGCGAGTTCTCTATGATGTAACCTACATGCCTATAAAGTTTAAAGCCATTCTGATAACCCAAAAAAACATTAAAAATCGTCAAAGATGGGGGTGTCAAAACGTGCTCGCCCACTCACTATTTTGTTTTTTTTCACTTCTAACTTTTTGTTTTCACTTTATTTCGGGGCCTAAAAAATTTTATTCTTTTTTGAAAACTTTTTAAGGAGTTATTGGTTATGTAAACGACATATCTCTGAATTTTCAGGGCATATGTCAATGCCAAAAAAAATTAAAAATCGGCAAAGGTGGCGGTGTCGAAAAGGTGTTGGCACACTCACTCATTTTAATTCTTTTTTTTATTTTTTCTTATTTTTATCATAGTGTTTATTTTGTGTATTTGATTTTTAACTCAATTTTGGTAAAGAATTTGGATGTAGTGCCTAGGCAACTGTCGTTTAGTTTATTTTTCTCTATAACATTGCTTGTTTTCGGAATTGTTTAAAAACTTTGTGTTTTTTTTTTTTTTTTTTTTCTTGGTCCGCGTTCGGCCCGAACGGCCGAACGCTATACATATATATATACACACACAGAGAGAAAGAGAGTTGTAGGGCTTGGAAAATCCTATAATACTATATTTTTTATTTTGGAATGTGACCTTATTTAAGATTTTTAAGAAATAAAAAATGAAAATCGATTCAAACAAATTATTAAAAAATAAATTTAAAAAAAAACGAAATTTTTTTTTTTCCATTTTTTATCATGAGGGACATTGTTGCTGAGTTGTCCTGTGTTTTTTGAGAAATGTTTTTCGAGTTTGTGTTCGGAGATTGGGTGTTTAAAAAAAATCAAGATGCAAAAATTAAAAATAAACAAAGAAAAAAAGGGGTGATTGATTGATTGATTGACTGAGTCATTAATTTGATTGATCATTTTGATTGATTGATTGATTGATTGATTTTATTGATTGATTGATTGATTGATTGATTGA